CAGCGAAGGGCGCAGTCGCATGTTTCCTTCCCACAGAATGGCACTCATTTATCAATCTCAAAGAGAAGAACAGCAAGTGACTCTGACCAGAGCTAGTACTTGGGACCTGTCGATTCAGAATTCCATGCTCAACCGACTGAGTAACCCTGTCTAAGGCAATATGTGGCAAATTCCATGCTATGCGTATTCATGACTAAAAAAGAACACCCTAGACGTAATCGAACCTGGCATCTACGGAGTTCGAAGCAGGCCTCTTAGACACGGTGCTAACAAGCCAGCATGAAAGGATATGATTATACGACTGATATTACAACCGCTGTTCATTACATGTGACGAACGGCCCTACGTCTTGTTGCAACGGCAGAAAATTCTGATCCCCTATTTTTGGCTCGATTAACTCAGCAATCACAGGTCCTCACTGAACGCTTAATTTTTACAGTTCAAAAACAGAAAATTCAGCACAGACCTTTATGTCGCCATCCGACGAGCCGGCGGCAAAAAATTCCTGAGACGGATCCAACGAAAGACAACGTACCGACGAGTGTTCGAAAAGTTTAAAAGTGTGACGAAGTTGGCGCTGCCGCAAATCCCATACGCAAAGCTCTCCGTGTTTACCGCCAGTGAATAAACTGAGTTGACACGGCACATACATTGCACAGTAGCAGCCGTCAGGGTGACAGTTCCATACTGAAACGGCAAAGCATGCGGATAAAAAGTCACGTGTATATTTAATACGATAATGAAACAGATAAAACGAATCAGGGATATTCACATGATGGTCTTGGTGTCGGAAACAGCTCAATTAAGAATACAAGGAAGGCCGTATAATGGAGCATGAGAAACAGACTGTTGTAAAAAAATGACTCATTTAAAACATACATATGGCGACACACTGATAGCCAGCATGCACATGTACAAAAACAAAATAATAACATGGTCTGCGACTTAATATTCGTTGAAAACTATAATTCAGCAATAATTTTAATTACCAATCAATCACGAGTTCATAAGCATATTTCCATCACGTTATGGGCCGTATCAGCTAGCTCCTAAGTACTTAACGGCACAGAGCGGAAAGCCATGGTCAATGGCATTTGAACTCCTGCAGTGCTTAGATGCGTTTTCCATAATTCTAAGGCAAAAGCAAAACTCTGCTCGTCTTGAATTACCATTAACATAATTAAATATCACTAAAACTGAATGAATCAAACGTCAGTCTTCAGCCTATTAGACGTAGGATTACGATTACGTATCACAAAACCATGAAAACTAAAGTTAAAACAGTTTTAGCGGAGATGTAAATCGCTTTCAAGCTGAGGCTAAATCAAATCTCTTGTAAGGATGGCTTGCAAGTAGAGCATATCAGGAGAATTCGTCACAAAGCATCGACCGCTAGCAGAACTGTTGTTCTGATATATTCGATATGAAGATTGAGTGTCACAAGATTCGAGTGACGCGCGATTGTCAGAATCTTGAAACGGGGTGATAAAACCATGTGAAACTTATTGTTAACAAATTTGTTGGCATCACTAGAGAA